TATACTACCCTAACCTGCAACTATACTGCCACTATACTACCCTAACCTGCAACTATACTGCCCTAATCTTCCACTATACCACCCTAATCTGACATTATACTGGCCTAATACGATACTATACTGTCCTAATATGATACTATACTTCCCAAAATCACTGTACTGCTCACTGTATACTGCTCCAATCTGTCATTATACAAAACAATGACATTAAATGACACTATAGTGCCCTAACCTGCCACTACACTACTCTAACCTGCCACTTCCCTAATCTGACACTAAACCACAAGCTCTGAAAAGTGATCTATGGTGGATCACTTTTCAAAGTGCAGCTAAGTGGCTGCTGTTAGGTGTTTAGGAAACGATACTGTTGCCCCCTGAATGCCTGTTTTTTTTCTTCTTCGCCAAATGACAGTTTATAATGTTGCTAATGCGGCACAAACCACAAGCCAAGTGTTTGGCTTGCAGTTGTGGTGTGGTCCCATTGACTTGATTGGCTGAGTTTGGTAGTCAACATGCCACGTTAAATTCTTCACGGCCACAGCATGTGAATGACCTCCTCCAGCTGTATTTAAACTTTAGCTTGGTGACCAAGGGGCAGTAAAACTGGGGCTCAGCCACTTGTTTTTATCGCCCCGTTTCTCTATGTGATAGAGGCCTTAAAGGTGAAAAATCATTTATCTGCAAGTTCTGACCCTTTAAAGACCAGTAGATTACCATGCATTTTGAGCTTTATGTTCTCCTGACCCCGTGCTCTCTTTATTACATATTCCTGACCCCTGCACTGTGGCATGTGTTACCATGTATACAGGTAGTAGGATCAATTTTTAAACCCCTCCCACTGTCAAGTCCATTCTTTGTGTGTTGTGTGGAATGTGTCAGATTTGTCTTTTTGTTTCTCCACTTTATTGTGTCATTCCAATACAAACAAAAGAAATAAACATAGGAATGCCTAAACATGTGTAATGTCAGCAATTTTCTGGGCAAAGTGGTGCATTATCTGCCAATATTTTTGGCCATGACTATATATATATATATATATATATATATATATATATGTATGTGTTCACACTCTATGGCAGGTGTTGAAGCCTGACTGTGGCACATTTACAGAGCGACAGAGTGTGCAATCACAAATATTGCTGCAGATTTGTATTGTGAAAGTGCAGTCATTTCAGCAGTGTCTGTAAAAAGAATTGTGTCTACAATAGGAAGAGAAACTGTTTATGTGAAGCGTTTTTATAATAAAGCACTTGAGAAAAATATATACTTTTCCCTAGAAGTGCTCTTCTTTAAAAGACGTTTGATTTACTATTAAATTATATTCAATAAGCTGTACAGAATTTCTCTAAAGAGAATGTCAGGATAAACGTAGACTATGTCTAAATGCTTGAAGAGTTGTGTGTGCCAATGTTTGTTGATCTTTTGATTTTTTGATACTTTTTTCCATCTTATTTAAAGAAGCATGCTCAGCATTTTTTCTTTACTAGGAGAATTTGTCAGGTTGGTCCTTTTCAAGTTCATCTTTTGATAACCATTGACCAAACATTTTTAGCCATTTTATTGAAATACATAACATTTAATAAGAGACATGATGTATATTGACTTTGAGAACAAGTTTGCATGGTTAGTAGTTACATCGTTGGTAAGGTTGAATTAAGACACCAGTCCATCCAGATCTACCTGTGTGGGTTTGTGAATAATTTCCCATATCCCTGTATAATGTGTTCACTAAGATGCACATCCAAGAGTCTTTTAAAGCTATAGATACTTCCCACTAACACCAAAAATTGCGGAAGGGCGTTCCACATTCTTGCCGCCCCAACAGTGAAAAACCCATACGCAGCTCCAGTTTCATTGAGTGGTCCTATGTCTTCTTACATTCCCTGACTGATCAGTTTTCTTCCTACACTGGGATCACCATTGAGTTATTTGTATATCGCTATCATATCTCCTCTCAAGCATCTCTTCTCCAGGGAGAATAAGTTTAGTGCTTGTTGTAGCAATCATGCCCACAGAGATGGAAGCGGTTCAACCATTTTGGCTCCAATCCCCATCTTGGCAAAGGATCCTCCATCTTGTACAAACATATCCCCCTCATTCTCATTCTTCCTCTCTGTTCATCCACAGTGACATATGGCCTGTGTGTTGGCAGTGTCACAGGAGGCCCGAGCACAACAGGGAGCCCCAAGCTATAAAACCCCCAAGGGAGCTGAGGCCTCACTGTCCAAATAACCTGTGCAATCTAGCACATTGTAAAAAGATCACCCAAGCCTTACCCTGAGTTCAAACACATTCCAGAAGAGTAGAGACTAGATAACACTTTTATAATCTATTTTCCCCTATGTCTTATATCTTGGAATATGAGAGACTTACATACAAACCAGGCCTATCTTCAGATTGCCTACGAGAAGACAAACAGTTTGACAGGTCACAATCCCTGACTGGAATACCTAGGAAAGCAGAAAATTACATCTCTGGAACCCTTTGAGTATGTATTTCATATTTCAAATCTAACCGTTCCTCAGATGCGTCTGCATAGTAATCTACCCGCAGGTGGAATGTCACTTAGGTAAAGTTATGAGCCAAAATATGAACTAAGAGAGATTTTGGCTCTAGTTTAGGTCTCCGCCCAGCATTGATTCTTGGCTTTAGAGACATCCCATGCTGGGGGACTACAAAATAGGCTGTCAGGCCTAAGAGAGTTAAGTTGAAGAATTCTCCCTTTTAACATCAGAACCAATTTGGGAGATGTGCCCTTTCGCTCTGAAACTTGATCTGCTTAACTCAAGGCTGATTGGCAAGTACTTTAACCCTTTAACCTCCTTTCTGTTACCTCTTTGCTGTGCTGTTGTTCTCTGTATATTTACATATATATTGGTTACATCTTTTTTCTGGAAATATTTTTATTGCACCCTTTTGACCTTTTAGTAATAAATCTTTCCTTCTGAAAGTGTTGAACTGTTTCTATAGTTCTTTATTGCAACTTACGAATTCCTGCCTCTAAAAGAGCGCTACTGTGTTTGTTTAACCCGCTGTATAACCTATCTGTGGTGACAGTGCTATACAGACGATTATCTCAACCATCATAGTGTTATTGCTGGTATTGCCGAGTTTCCTCTTTCTCTGTACAAAAAGGAGGTGGTGGCAGTGTGAAGGGTTAATTGTGTAATTAACCTGACCCAGTAACAATTGCGCTCAGGCTGCCGGTACATCGATTGGTGGTCCAGTGAGCTGGAAAATCGTTGTGCAGGGTGCAGCTGGGTGTGGCATTGTTACGCACGTGACATCGCGGTTTCAGATTGGCTAGTCCTTCGGTGACGAGTTTGGTGAGAAGGTCAGGGGTCTGATGCCACAATCGTCACACTTGTATTTCTATTAATTTTCTTGCCTTTCTCTGGACTCCCTCCAGTTTCAGCACATCCTTCCTGAAGATTGGTGTCCAGAACTGGACGTAATACTCCAGATGTGGCCGAAGCAATGTTTTCTGAAGTGGCAGGATTATCATTTTAGTAAATTCCCTTTGCAAATAGTCTGCCTGCTTTGCTTGATACAGCTTAGCATTGCATGTTATTGCTCAGTCTATCTTATTTATTTATTTCAGGTACTTATATAGCGCCTTCAATTTAAACAGCACTTTACATATATATATATTGTATATTCACATTATTTCCTAACCCTCAAGGGGCATGTCTCTGGAATGTGGGAGGAAAGCGAAGTACCCGGAGGAAACCCACACAAGCACAGGGAGAAAATGCAAACTCCAGGCAGTTGGTGCCTGTGGTTGGGATTCGAAGCAAAGACCCTAGTACTGCCAGATGGAGTTGGGCAGGAGGGGCAGCTACCTGGGGCACAGCAGGGCAAGGGGCAGGGAATGGACACAGTGCAATAAACTGATTTTATGGTATTAACAGTGTGGGAGGGGCGCAGTTTCACATCCTTGCCCTGGGCGCTACCAGTACTGCCTGTTGCTCAGGGTTTTTCTTCCATCTAAAAATACTGCATTTTGTTCTGTGTCCTCTCAGTAAACTAGATAACTGTTTGAGTTTTCAAATAGCTGGTTTATAATTGACCAGAAGTGGTGTATAAGTATTTGGCCTACACACTTCAGCATGCCTCATCTTCATAAACTGCTGCATTCCTAAGATGAGTTGACACACATTTGATTCTAAAGAGAAGAAGTACAAAGAAGTTAACCCATGTAGGGATGCTAACAAAGACAATTAAGAAAAAAACAATGTTTTTTTTTTTAATTTCTCTATACAGTTTTGCTCTGCTCACAGCTGGTCAACCTTATGCGGCTAATAAATAGGAACTTTAAAATTTAAAATAAATAAAAGCCAGCACCTACAAACACTGTAGCTCCTGACATTTATTAAAAATACACTTACCAGCCCAGGAATCCAGTGCTGTCTTCACCTGAGCCAGTTCTTCTCCAGTCCTTCCATCTCTGTCACCATCTTGTTGACTGTTAGAAGCTGGCTGTGGCTCCCTGCTGATTCACATCTGGCTCTCCACTGTTCATGCTCAAGCCACGCTGCACTTTCTGAAAGGACCAGCAGCTTCCTAGGACTTGTGACATGTTCCAGGAGATTATAGGTGGTGAGGGAGGCAAACGTCCACTGGGGTCACCTAGAATACATCTCTTGCTGATCATACTTATCTGAACAAGATGGGAAACAAAACCTTTAACCACTTCCATACCGGGCACTTTTACCCCCTTCCTGCCCAGGCCAATTTTCAGGTTTCAGCGCTTTCACAATTTGAATGACAATTGCACGGTCATACAACATTGTACCCCAACCAAAATGTTATCATTTTCTTCACACAACTAGAGCTTTCTTTTGGGGGTATTTAATCAACACTGGGGTTTTTATTTTTTGCTAAATTAACAAAAAAAAAAAAACAAAAATGTTAAAAAAAAGCATATTTTTCTTTGTTTCTGGTATAAAGTTTGCAAATAAATAATTGTTCTTCATACATTTAGGCCAAAATGTATTCTACTACATGTCTTTGGTGAAAATAACCCAAATTTGCATTTATTATTTAGTCTGTAGGAAAGTTATAGAATCCACAAACTATGGTATAGATCTGAAAACTGATCAATCCTGAAGTACTGACGGGCAATCTAATTTCTTGAGGTCCAAGAATGTCAGAACAGTACAGATATCCCTCAAATGACCCCTTTTTGCAAAGTAGACAGTCTGACGTATTTCATAACAGGTATGTCAAGTTTTTTGCAGTTGAAATTTTTTTGTCATAATTTTTCGGACATGAAGAAATAAAAAAAATGATTTTCACAATTTCTTTTTTTTACATACTGTCACCAGTGCAGTGCAGCACCATCATATAACTGGCATGGCGGTGATCAGGGACACTGACTGGTGACAGTACGAAAAAAAAAATGGATAATTTTTTTTTTAATTTTTTTAAATTTGTTTATTTTTTTATTACGTTTTTTTCTCTTTTTTTAAGTTTTTGTTTTCATATTTCACTATGACCAAAGTAGTATAATGTTACCATAGTAACATTGTACTACTTTGGGGAAGTGTCAGTATTTTTTTTTTCTTTTTTTACACAATTTGCTTATAGCAAAGAATTACTTTGCTATAAGCAAACATTTACCCGAATGAAATCGATTCATTCAGGGTTTTTTTTTGTGCTTAGCTGTGATTTGGCCACAGCTAATCACATGACACAGCTGGGTTGTGATTGGCCCAGCTTGTGCATGTGATCGCTGTGACCATTCACAGCTAGCCACACTTGTATACAATGGATGGCATGAAAGGAAGCCATCCACTGTATACAACTGTCATGTGACCTGCTGTGATTGGTCACAGCAGGTCACATGGTACTGGCAACGGGGCCGGTACACAGATCTGTCATTGGCCGTGTCTGAGGTACATGGCCGGTGACAGATTGCACCGCTGCGCGGCTCTGCAGGCAGGCAAACTGCGCATGCCTGAAAAGACGCCATATGGCGTCCACCCGGAGGGGCGAGGTACTCGCCTGGCCGCCATCTGGCCATAGGCCGGGTGGGAACCGGTTAAATATCAAAAGATCACCAAAAATGTTTGCACAAAACTATTTAGGTGTGAGTGTTAGCAATAACAGGTGCAATAAAAGCTCATGAAATAGTGGTGAGGTATGTAATGCAGGAAGGTCTAGATAGGTGATGATAATTATTATAGTTATTTAACCAGGTTGAAAAAAAGACACCAAACTATTTAAAAAATAGAAAACCTCCATATATGCTATCTAATTCCTGATCCCCCAGAAGGCAACTGGATATTCTCTGGAGAAACTACTCCAGTCTTATTACCTCTAATTGTTAATATCCAATTATATTTTGTGCATTTAGGAATGCATCCAGCTCTTTATAACCCCTTGGTGCCAGCGCCTCCTGATTCTTTAAGGGGTTTCAGATAATGGGAGGCGGGGTGGGGTTACTGATCATGTAACCACTGTGATTGGCTGTCACAGTGGTCACATGATCAGAAAGCTCCCGATTGCAAGTAGAGATAGGGAACTTTCTGTTAGCTGCCGGTTCTCCGATATCCTTTTTGTGGACTGGTGCCCAAAACTGAATTGCATATACCTGTCAAGGATCTGGGTGTGACCAGAGGTGTGTGGACTGACACAGGGAAGTAACAGGCTTCAGGAATGATATAATAACAATATACTTATTATTAGCCACCCAAATATACAACACACAGTAAACAAACCAACCTTCTACTAATCTTAGTATGTGCAGGAACACAGGCGTAGTCAGGGCTGGAGAGGTGGAATGGTCAGGCCAGCCATATGGTTCTGTTAATGACCGTCTGGTGGTACCTCTAGCAGTCCTCGGGACAGGATTCCCCAGGACGCGGAGTCTAAGTCCCAGTCTGCTTATTCACCAGGGCCCCTGATGGTGGGGATGGACTTGGAGCAGACAGGAACCAGGTCGCGGCCACTGAGTACACCTGCTCGTGGTAGAGGGATCTGCCAGAGGTATATGCAGGTAGGAAGCCTGATGTGAAGAGGCAGAAGGTGTGAGCAGGGATGACTGGATCCGTGCAGGATGGATGGATGGCAGAGTAGTTAGCGTGGTCAGACGGGCCGGGTCGGTAACAGCAGGTCAGCGTGGTACTAAGCAGCAGGCAGAAGAGTAGTCAGGTCACTCGCCGGGGTCGGTAAGAGGAGTTCAGATCAGATTAGGGATGTCCAGGAGAGTAGTCAAACGAGCCAGGGATCAAGCAGGAGAAGTCAGCAGAGGTCAGGATCAGGCAGGGTCGGAAACAAAATCAAATCGGCAGAGGAACAGGACACAGGATACAAGGTACAGGGGCTCGTGGGAAACATACACCAAGGCACTGACTGCAGGTCTGACCATTCCTTAAATACACCTCCTGCAATCAGCCTCAGGTGATGGCTCACTGCAGGAGTGAGCTTCTGGTTGCTGAGAGCACCCGCTGGCCAGCCCTGGTACTGCAGCCCACAAGGCAGGTGAGTCCCACCACCATTGGCAAGTCCATTCCTGACAATACCAAATGAGGTCTTACTAATGATTTGTACAGGGGTAAAATTATGTCTCCCTCTCTCTCTCTCTGGGGTGTATACTTCTTTAAATACAAGAAAGTATTTTGCCAACTTTAGAAATCACAGCTTGGTATTGTATTCTGTTATTAACCTCCCTGGTGGTATTCCCGAGTGTAGCTCGGGGTAAAGTTTCAGTACCACAAGCAGTAACCCCGAGCTACACTCAGGAATACCATGCGGCGTTGCTCTGGGATCCCTCGATCACTTACCTTGTCCTGCACTCCCGCGATGTCCCTCCTGCAGTGTCCCCGGCAATGTAATCCGGCGGATGCCGGCATCTGTCATCTGGGTTCCATCCCCTGCGAGCGTCGGAACGTACAGGGGACGGAACGGCAGGAAATTTGAAAATGACAAAAAGTGACATTCACTAAAAGCATTTCACATACATTGTGTCCCTAGTGCTTTCTGCCTGGAAACTGAGAAATGTCCATGGCGTCCAAAAAGCGTCCCTTTAGGTCAAAAGCAGTTTTAGACCAGCTAGAGAACAGCGATAGTAAATTAGAACCACTTGCAGAATTGAGTGATAATGATTTGTGGGGAAATTCATCATCAGACACTGAAAACGATTTTGCAACTTTGCTCAGTGATGTGTGAACTTGGCGCTATATTTCAAATTTCAGTGTTTTTGGTTTGATTATATTATTGAATTAAATTTATTATCATATTATTATGTTTTATGATTATTTATTAAATTATAATTTATGATTTCGTGTTTCAAGTTTTATCATACCCGGGATGTTTACTAGACTCTTGTTCGGACAGATTTCAGTGAGTTATTCCTAAAAATTACAGGCCTACAATAAAAAAAAATACATATTTCCATGCAAAAAAATGTACCACTTTGAGCACAGAAATATGGACATAATCAGACCACTACGGAGGTTAAGTCTATGATGTACCAGAACACCCAGATCCTTCTCCACTATTGACTCCCCCAGCTGTTCTCCTCCTAGAATGCATGATACCAGGGGCAGACTGACCATTTGGGAACTCGGGCACTGCCCGAGTTCCCGGGGTCAGTAGGGGGCCCCATAAGATGCCCCTGGAACCTTTATTAAGCTTTTTTGGGTGTGGTTTGAGTGTGGACGAGGACACAGGGGCCCCATAATCCCCTATTGCCCGGGGGGCCCCATGAGTTGTCAGTCCACCCCTGCATGATACATGTATGTTTTTAGCCCTCAATTTATCAACATTTACCTTTATTTGCCAGATAAGTCAGCTTGTAAATTGGAATCATCCTGTATACCACTATATAGATTGGTGTTATCTGCAAACACTAAAATGATAATTTTAATAAGACATTAATAGAACATTTAGCTGCCAGGATCACCTGGACTGAATGGTTTCTTGTGTTCCTGCTGTAGGGTTTCAGAATGTCATGTACCAGATAGAAAAACTACAGGAGTTGTAGGTTGGAAAGTAGAACCTAAAAGTTTTAATTAAACTGTGGTTATGTAGGGAGTTTAATGCATAATCTAAGACTTGGAAAAAAGGGAAGCATTTGGATTTCTAAAGCTTTTGACTGATGTCTGCAATGATAGAGCAAAGAATTCTAGGTTGATTGAAGAGGTATTTCAGTTAGGCTTGACAGAAAATGGTAACTCAGAACATTAACAGAGCTGATAGGTACACTGACAAGGTTTTTTTTTACTGTGCTCCATTTGACCAACTCTAATAACTCATACATTTAGGATGATCTTAGACCCAGTTGTCCACCACATCTGCCCTATTGGAAAAAAAAGAAAAAAAATGTAAAAGAAAAATAGTGCATATAAACAAATCATAACAGCTGGAATATTGTTGTCATGGCAACAGCTCCACTTTTTTTTAATCAGTTTATAGTGTCAGTGGAATTAAGGAAAACAATGGTTATTACATTCTACTGTGAATCCTACAATTAGACCGTGAATGCATTTTGCATACTGTATATGCAATTAAAATACAACCCTATCTGTACACAGCACAAACAAAAAAAATGGCATACAAAAAAAGAACAAAACAGCAATGTTTTTCCCTTCAAACTAACTGATATGTGCACACACAGAAAGAAAATCTCTCTCGGGTGCCTTTGCTCTTTGCTATTCAGTATTCTTTAAACAGCTCATTTGTACTAGGCTCTACAGGAAAATGTCCATTTATGTCAATAGGAGCTTTCTGCGGCCAGCCTATGGTAGGTAACGCTTATTTTGGCAACTTCTAAAAGTACACTACATCTATTGTCTATAGCTTTAAATTAAGGTGATGGCTTCATTCAGTGTGGATAATGCATAAATGCCATAGCTAACATTTTTACATTTCAGTTTATTTTTTGAGCTGCAGCTGCTTTAACCTAGTCAGCTGCCCCTTTACAACTTCTCAGCACTTATCCCTCCCTCCTAGCATCCTTTGTAATGGAAATGCAACACAGAATAAGAGGATCCTGGTGTACAATCTTTCACCTCTCAGCATGTACGGTGTGCAGCACACAGCTGTCATGGCAATGACAAGCTTGGTACAGCCAGATAATTGGGTACTTGAAGGAGATTCATAAGGCAATATGTTACTGAAGACAATGTTATATCCCGAGGCAGAGGGGAAAAAAAGTATATCAGAATAGATTTGGAAATTTGTGGATGATAAAAATTTAATCCAGTTACATAGCAATGATGGAATGTGCCGTAAAATTAGTGGCAACAATGTGACATGTGTGTTACATCTAAATATCTAAATGTATGCAATTTCACAAATTTTATTATATATATTTGTATA